TGGAGCACTGAAGTGAAAGGCCCTTGTTGCACAGCACAAATGATCAGAGCAGCTGGGGAGCAGCACTTTCATGTCCGCGGTGGGACATCAGGATTCGCAAGTACAATCGAGTCTTCTGTGTTCCGCCTGTCACATGTGCCACTTTAGGGCATCCCACGAGGCAGAAGTAAACACAGGTATGTGCTAAGATAGAGTAGGCATATGTCTACCTGGGCAGCAGGTGCTTACTCTTTTCAAATGTATGATGTGAAGGAGAGAAGGTCATCTCTTATTTTCACGCTCTGGCAGCAAAGCTATCTTGGGCACCCTGTGGTGTTGCTGGTAGCCGGATATGATGTCACTCTGGCCTCGGCATCACTAAAGAGTGTGAATGGGAGCATTGCAGGAAGAGCAGCCCCACTAGACTTAAGGGAGAGAATCCACTCCAGATCCCCCACAGGTAAGGAGGTTGGGCAGCAAAAAGTAAGAAAATACACTATAAATAAAATTACTTTAGGAGTGTGTGTGAGATAATGTATGTGTGTGTGATTTTATGTGTGTCGGTATTAGTGATAGTGCGTGTCTGTCAGTTAGGGTGTGTGCTGGGTAAACAGTCTGTGTGCCATTGAGTGTGCTTAAAAAGAAAATAATTTAAAAATAGTTTCACTCAATTCATATACAGGGAGTGCAGAATTATTAGGCAAATGAGTATTTTGACCACATCATCCTCTTTATGCATGTTGTCTTACTCCAAGCTGTATAGGCTTCGAAAGCCTACTACCAATTAAGCATATTAGGTGATGTGCATCTCTGTAATGAGAAGGGGTGTGGTCTAATGACATCAACACCCTATATCAGGTGTGCATAATTATTAGGCAACTTCCTTTCCTTTGGCAAAATGGGTCAAAAGAAGGACTTGACAGGCTCAGAAAAGTCAAAAATAGTGAGATATCTTGCAGAGGGATGCAGCACTCTTAAAATTGCAAAGCTTCTGAAGCGTGATCATCGAACAATCAAGCGTTTCATTCAAAATAGTCAACAGGGCCGCAAGAAGCATGTGGAAAAACCAAGGCGCAAAATAACTGCCCATGAACTGAGAAAAGTCAAGCGTGCAGCTGCCACGATGCCACTTGCCACCAGTTTGGCCATATTTCAGAGCTGCAACATCACTGGAGTGCCCAAAAGCACAAGGTGTGCAATACTCAGAGACATGGCCAAGATAAGAAAGGCTGAAAGATGACCACCACTGAACAAG